CAAGGGTGGCAGGAACCCAAGCTGCTGGCACTGGTAGGACTGATCCATGCCAACCTAAGGAGCCCATTACGTGCTGTAATCCTGGAAGACGACAGCTCTTGCAGCCCGGGGTTAGGACAGCAGATGCTCCTGGGAGTCACCCCCTTTCCCATAGGGAAGGGCAGGATCAATCCCAGCACACCTGTGAGCTGGCAGGCAGGGAACCGTGCCTAGAGGGATCCCACTGCTTATTTGGTACGTACACACCCCACACCCCCCCTTTCCAGTATCCGCTTAGTGGCCTGGTTTCTTCTCAAAGCTTTTTACATTTCACATTCCTAAGATTTAATTATGTTATCAGAACAACAGGCATCGGGATTTGGAGTGCCAGAATTCACATTAGCAATTGCTATCAACAAAGAAAATGGGCACAGCATGCCCATGCCAGAGTAGATGTGGGCTGCTCTCCTCAATCTACTCACAGTTATTTATAGCCTGCTTGCAAGCCATCCACCTCCCAGGTTTAGCTTCAAGCTCACTTCTTTCTGAGCACCCTCTCGCTCAAAGAAAAGCCTTTTGCATCCCCCTTCCCTAGCACAGCACCCAGATTTGGACACATTTAGTTAATTTTTGGGGGCAGGGGGGATAAAACACCTTTCAATCTTCTTCCATACATCCACAACAGCAGAAAAGAGTGAAAACAGAGTCCCACAAATAAGCAGCTGCAGGGACACCCACCCCCCAATGGTAGAAATTAAAAAAAAGTATCTATACTTTCTAACACTTCACCACATCAAAGCGGGACCGCTGCACATCTCCAGCACCTTTCTGCCCTCCCCGCAGGTGGGGATGGAGGCACAAGCTCTGCAAGGCAGGACACATGCTTGAATGCAAGAAATACCTACCCATTTTCAGACGATTGCAAAGAAGCGGCCACGCGATAGCAGGAGGGAAGAGAGCTGTCCCTCCACACCAGCATTAACTGCAATTTGCCCATCCCTCCACCAGCACCATTTCAAGGCAGTCTGATTCTGCCAGGATCCTGCGCCTCCAAATAATTAAGAAATACAAGATACAGTGTGCGTAGTACAGGTGCAAACCTACCCACCAGCTTATTTTCCTCCCCTGAGCAGCAGCTGGCCCAGGCAGCTTGTGTCCTCTTCCTCCTGATCCCAGCTCCTGCCAAATCAACCCAAGCTGTAAGGCGGATGTTAGCGGGAGTTGGGTCAGACCTCAGCTCTCCCAAGCCTGGGAGAGTTTCGGCACTTAAGAGAACCCCTTCAGGCAAGTTAGCCAACGTGGCTTCGGTCAGCCCAACGGTGTCGGGATGCCGGCGGGCACGGGCACCTTTGCCGGACTGTCCTCGCACGCCGCATCACTTCTGCGCTCACAGGCTTGTCACCCGGTCCCCAGGACCCGCCCGCGGCTGTAAAACAGCATCGCTCAGGGCAGGGCTGGTCCAAAGCTCACTCCGGGCATCGGAGGGAGAGCTGAGCCCGTTCAAACCTCCCAGATACTCTGGTGAAAATGCAGAAGCGGTGCTGGTTTTAGTCCTGCCCAGTGACTAAGGAAACGCTCGGTCAGGCTCTGACATACGGCAGCTCCTCACATGCCTAAAATTCCACGTGGCCCTGAAAAAGAAAGAAATTATTAGAGTATATAATAATAAATGACAAAAAGCAGCACAACTACCTGTAAAATATTAGTAATAAATAAAATAAAAATAATTAATATTAATAAATATTAATAAAAAACCCAAACACCACACCCCTTCTGCTAAAGGGGGGAGGAGGAGGAGGCGGCTCAAGCTTACAACTCTAGCATGTTTTATTTTGTGTAAATTTATAAAGACAACAATCCTAGTCACGATTGTCACGTTGTACAGCACATACCAATACAGTTGCAAACAGAACTCCACGCAAAACTAAGCGCTAACAGTAGCTTGAATCACTCTTCCTGCGATTGTCATATCTAGACTAACAGTATTACACTAACACTGAAGAAAAAATAGTTCACTATAAAACAGTGATAGAACGTTTTTATAAAATATATTCCATTCCAATAGCTTTTCTACATACTGTATACTATAAAACTCTCCCACAAAAATTAGTGTCTTTAAATATACATATTTAATCTGAACTGCACCAAGATTAAAAACAATTAAAAATATCAATGAATTTTTTTTTTTTTACATTAACTTCACAGTATTTGTTTGTAGTAGAAGACAAATCCAGTGTTTAAAATGCGGAGCAGGACTGTCTCCTACAGAGACAGTAACAGCCCCACAGTGAAATAGTTTATGAAGAGACAAGCGTAAGTGTGCAATGTTTTTAGTACTTCTCTGTAGAGCCATGAACCATTTTGAAAACATGCTCCGAGCTATTGCAACTTAAAAATATGAGACACACACAGAAAGACAGCCGAAAAAAGTCACCTTAAGAACAAAAATAAGTGCAAACATTTTTTTACTTTAGAAATTCAAGCTATGAGGAGTGGGAACACAAATACCAGACTATGAGAACAGCGTGTTCATGATGTAGTGAAGAATGAGAAAGTAATTTTTTTTTTCTTTTTTAAAAACTTTTGCCCCATATTCACTGCAGTACAGAGCATGCTCATAGCATCAGTTTAATGAATTATTTCTAGGCTAAGATCAGACACAACCTTGTTTCAACTTTTCCCTGCTCCATATGCTAATGATGTTCTTATGGCACATCCTATTTTACGATCTTCTAAAAAAAAAAAAACAAAAAACAAAACACCCAAAAAAACAAGAACAGTAATTGAAGACTGAAATGCAAAAAAAGTGTCACAAGAATGCAAAATTAAGATTACCAGCTTCAGTAATGCTGACTCTACATTAAACTCTTTACATGTTGTTCAACATGCAAACCCCATTGTTATAAAATTTAAAGTGAAGTGTAAATTAACTAGTTTTGAAATAGATTAACAGTAATAATTCCACTTCAAAAAAAAGTCTAATAAATACTATATCAAGTATCTTCAGGAGAAAAAAATAACTTAATTTTAGTAGGAAGAAAAATAACTTAATTTTAGTAGATTTTGTTCAGTGCTATTTCCAATCACAGCAAGAAAGAAAAAAAAAGGAAGAAAAAACTGATTAAGTAGAATAAGACCACAGTACCAAAGCCACTTATGTTCAAGATACAGTACTCTCCCACAACTTTCATATGTAACAGGTTCAGCAAAAATATTGTACAGTCAAGAAATTAGACTGAAAACAAAAAAAACCCAAAACTATAAATAGAAGCAAAATTTCACATTACATGTACATTCATAGTTTAAGAGACAAACAATAAGAGGAGGCTGTAACAAGTAGATCCTGATTTTCTTTAAAAGAGCAAGTACTTTAAAAAAAAAAAAAATCAATCCCATATTATTTATGTAGGTAGTGCTCAGTTTTTGGACCAGAGGGGGAAGGCATTGGGAAATTTTTTCTTCATAAGATGAAATACAGCATTTTAAGCACAACTTTTTAAAATAATCTCACTCAGTGCTTCAAATTCATTTTAAAATAAACGCTTAAGTTTCACAAAACAACTCCAGGAGTGTCAGGAAAGCTGGTGAAGCAACGCCAACGCAGCAGAACGACATTCAAAACCCTCAGATATTATTATATTTCAGTCCCGTGTACATGTACCTTGAATGGGTAATTTGACTGGAAGGGAATAATCTGATATTTACCGACATGCACAGACCAGAGGATGCTCTATTAAGCGAGTAATTGAGTTATTTGGAGTAAAACTGGTTAGAGTTACAGGCAGCCTCAGTTTACAAAGCAACTAAAAAAAAAAACACCGAAAAATACCCCAAAAACCTCCCCTGAAAAGGTAGGACATGGGGGAAAAAGTCGGGCCATGTTTTCCCTCCAGTGGTTTATCTTCATACTGCCCCTTTGAAATACCGGCGATTGCACAGAATTTGGCCAAGAGGGAATCACCAACTTCATAAAAAATAAAATAAAATAGAATTCTGAGCTGCCTATTTTAGCATAGCAGCAAACTTTTCGGACAAGATAGCAGGGCATCTCCTAACACACGTGGTATGAGTTACCTTGAACTAAGACACCCCAGGAGCTGCTTTAGGGCTGCTGTCCCCCCCGCAAGGGGGACAGGATCAGCCCCTGGGTGTCGATATGGGAAGGGAGTTATTCACGTATCATACGATTTTTTGTATGTCCTAGTGCGCATCCTTCAGCATTTCGGGAGTGAATACGCTGCAGACAGAAAGAGTTTTTCCGTCCACATTTTATGCTCAAAAGCAGCTTTTCAGTAGGTCAGCCCACAGACGAGGATGGGTGGGAAGGGAAAATTTAAGTCAAGTCCCGAGGCAAAAGCTTCTCATTCAGACTTTAGGACCGACTGCAGAACTATTCTAATATAATAAAGAGAATAAAAAATGATCAGTACCAAAGACGCAGCCAGGAATCCTCAACCCCCTTTGCAACTGGGGCCAATTTAAGGTCTCGTCTAGCTCTATAAAATAAGAGTACGGCCGCTTACTCTGCGATATGCAGACAAGTTTCTCTACACTGAAATGTATTTAAATCATAGTTCATCTCTTCAGACGTTAGTATGCAACACGCAGAGCATTAGGGGAGCTTAATGGAATCCAAATTTTTCTCTGGAATTTGCCGATTTTTTTTTCAAAATTAAAAAGAAAAAAAGCAAACCCTAAAAAAAACAAAAACCAAAAAAAAAACCCCTGACCACGAAGCAAGTTACTTCCAGCATGAAAACAGATGCTAAATCATTGCAGAATTACTTAGATCATTTCACATTAATAATGTAACATGGGTGCGCAAGAGAAGACCTATAGGACAGGGCTGGGAAGGGAGGGCGGCAGGGGAAGGGGAGAGATGGAGGGGTTGCATTGAAAGGCCTCTGGAGCGTTTACCTCTGCATCTTTTAAAGAACATATACCTGAAGTGAATATCACCAAAATAAAATAAAGGAAGGGGGGAAAAAAAAAATAAAATTAAAATTCAGATGCTGCCTTTTTTTCCTGTTTTGTTTTAAAAGGGTGGGGGGGGGGGTATGTAAATTAAAAAAAAAAATAAAAATCACGCATCTCAAACAACCAAGGACTTTACAAGGCCACAATGAAATTTGCGGATATGTCTGTACAAATCCCCAGACTGCGTGAACCGTCTCTCGCACCACTTGCACCCGTGGGGTTTCTCCCTGGTGTGCACCACCGCGTGGCGGCTGAGGTTGTGGGAATACTGGAAGCTCTTTCCGCACTGGCCGCAGGTGTAGGGCTTCTCCCCCGAGTGAGTCCTCTCGTGCCTCTTTAACGTGTACATGCAAGAAAAAGTCTTTCCGCAGAGGGTACAAGTGGGGACGGACCCGTCAGGGGACAGGCGGGTCCGGGAGCCGTCCTTGTCGCGAAAGTGAGAGCTCAGGTGCAGCTGAAGGATGTGAGGGCTCGGGAACACCTTGCTACAGAGGGGGCAAATGCAGATATGCCCGGGAGGCACGAGGACGCCCGAGGAGGAGATGTCCGACGAATCCATGTCGTCCTCGCTCTCGTCTCGCTCTTGATCTACATCCTCCTCTCGGGCATGAGAGCTGCCATTCCCCGCGAACATGTGTCCTAACCCTGTCACTAGGCTTTTGGCTGAATTCCCAAAATGCTGACTCTCCGGACTCCTGGCTTCGCCGTCCTCCTGATCTGACAGCAAGTCTTGTTCATCTTTAACAAGTGGCTCGGTACCCTGCTGCTGGCTGTCGGAAGCCAGCTGTCCAAAGACATAGGAGGGGGGTAAGGAATCTCTCCCCGGCACGGGCTTGAAAGACAAATCCAGCGCACAGTCCACATCACTCGAAGCCAGGGGATGGTTAACAGACCTTTGGGACAAAGGTCCTGTGGAACTATTGACATTAGCCTTTGTTTTTCCAGCTGCTGCGGCACACGGTTCTGCCTCTGTCGGCACAGAGCTGACACTTATATGATCAGAGGACCAGGCAGGGTGACTGCTGACCTTTTCTTTGCCTGCTGCTCTCTCGTATTCTGCAACGCTGAATTTTTGTTTGTTTCCTGGGTCAAACTCGTGGACCAGGGGCACTCCGGCGTCTAGAAAATGCTCCGCTTTCTCCAAACTAGCCGCCTCATCATTAATCTTCTCTTCCGAACATAATTCTTTATCTTTCAACTTGCCCTTGCAGACTTTCACAATGTCATACATGTGAAGGTAGCTAGCCGCAGCCAGCACATCTTCGACCGGGAGACTGTTGAATTCCAGCTTTCCCTCGTACATGAATTCGAGCAGCAGGCTGAAGGCAGGGGCTGTGACAATGTCACTGTTCAGATGCACAATATCCCTTTTGTCTAACTGGTCCCTGTAGAAAAGATGGAAGTACATACTGCAAGAGGCAAGAACGGCTCTGTGAGCTCTGAATTGAGCTTCTCCAACTAAAACAGTACAGTCACACAGGAAGCCCTGGTGACGCTGCTGACTCAGACACTGCAGCAACTGGCGGCTATGGTCTGGAAACTCCATTCTTCCTTCATAACCTGTTCAAAACAGGAAAAACTTGAATGCTACTGTAAACTAAAGCCTCCTAGCAGCTGTAACAAACAGATCGGCTTTTTGGTAACACAAGCCAAAGAAACAGCCTTGGAGATAACGTTTACTGTTAATTGTCTGTAATAGTTTTATTAAGGGGTGGGGGGGAGAGAAAAAAACCCAACACAACATGCTTCTCATCCTTTCGCACCTGCTCCGAACAGGAAAAACTTGATTGTAAGTAAACAAAAGCTAGTAAAGCAGCAGCCCCTCCAAGCTTTGTTTCTCCCACTAAGCACTTTAATAAAATTAAGAGGAGGAAAGCACACACAGAGGGGAAAAAAAAAAGCATAAACTCCCAGGCTGTTTCCCCTGCAACGCTAACTCGGGGCATCTTTTAATAAAGCATATTACCCGTGTCACACACATACACACACGCACATTTAAACTTTATCCTCGGTCGTTATGCACCGGATCACAACAAAACAGTCGCGGCTGGCGCTGGGGAAGAGGCGCTTTTGCAGGGAGGGAACCGGGTGGGGAGAAGCGCCCCCGGCCCCCGCATGCGG